CTTTCTTCCTTCCTTCCTTTCTTTCTTTCATGCATTCATTTACTCCAACATTTACTCCTCTCTGATCTTTTCTTTTCTTTTCTTTTACCCACCCTCTTTTCTTCCTAAATTCTCTCCTGTCTCGCACTAAACGTTCCTACATCTCTTTCTGTCAGCGTGAAACAAGAAAAAAAGATAGATTAATCCTATAAAAGACGCCTAAAGTAAGCTAAATGTTTATTGAAGGGGCTTCATTTACGACGCAGTAGGGAACTAAAAATCTTTATCCAAATATAAAGCTTTTAGAATAACATTTTTTTACTTTCAGGAGTCGGGTAGGGAATGTACTTTCGCTCTATGTACTTTCAGATCGAGGTTTTTTGAAGAAAATCGAAGAACAACACAAACTGAGTAGTCTTATTACAAGTAAGTTGAAAACTTCGAATCTTTCATGAACATTTTCGGACATCAACTGCTGTCATTTTGGAAAAAAAGTGAAAAATGGCTTGCTTTAGTAAAAAGGAGAAACTAAAAGCCGGAACTGCGGTTTGCGGTTTTTAAAATGCTGTCATAAGAAGAGGAATACTTCAGAAACCTTTTTAGCAAAGAAAATTATGTTTTCCTACAAACAAAAAGTTATAAAACATCTTCGTTTAAATTGAAACAGCGAATACTTCAGAAACCTTTTTAGTAAAAAATAAAAATAAAAGGTTTCCTATAACAAAAAGTTCGTTTAAATTGAAACAGCGAGAAAAGTCTTTTCTTTTGTTTTATCCTGCACTCCAAATAGCTTTCGCCCCGAACCAATAAAATGCATGTAAATTTTTTCATCTAATCAAAATGCTTACTTTAAGGTAGGCCTCTTTGAGTTAGGCAACGTAAATAATCCTAGTATAGCTTCGGTACCAATATATTTTGCCCCTAATTGGGTATTTGGTACGTATTCTAATCCAGAATTCAACATTATTCTAGAACATATTTTTCGTGATACACGGGTACGTTTCGCAGTCATCGGAAGACTTTCGATATCAACTATCAAGCTAAGTGTTAGAGATCACCTGGTTAGAGATATTAAAGATAACAGGTACCCTGCTTGAGTGGAGAGACCAAAGGAAAGCCTTGTATTGCAGAATGAGAAGATTTTGAGTGGGAGTGGATCGTAAGAGATAAGAGATGAGAAAACCTTTCATTCAAGATCACGGAAAAGTTTTGTAAAATAGACTTTTATACCTTGTGTGTAATCAGTTTACCCATTTTAGACTACTTGTGATTTCCTTGAGAATAAGATTCTTTGGGTGTGATACTCCCCTTCACAGTTCCCTGTGCTATTAGGTAGCGTAACCGTAACGTCATAAAAACGAAAACAAGGGCGAAATTCGGACAAACAAATTTACAAGTTTACTTTCAGCAGATAATTTTCACAGCCGATCGCAGTTGATCTTAGTTTACATGGGTTATTATTGTAACTTTAAGTAAAAACAATAAAATCGGTTCGTATAATCCTCGTAGCGGTTAAACAGAATGCAATGTTTGTCCGAATCTTTAAGCTATTTTTAGAATCAGTGCGCTGCGCTATTGAAGTGAGACGAACGGTGAGATGGCAAGAAGCTTGGTGGGTCTAGCTTGGGTACAAACACACCATATACGAGAGGTATTGATGGTTTTTCAACCATTCTCAAGAGAATTAAATAACAAAAGACACGGCGGCCATGTTGGAGGATATAACAAGAATTCATCAGTTTCTCCAAAGCCATCAATATCACAATAAAACGTTTAACTCAACAATTTGTTTTAAAACTTCCTTTAGTCATTGCTTGTACCTTGTTTAGTCTTCTGGTATAGATTCAGCGCGATTTGAGGCCGTTAGGTGCGTTGTTGTCGTTGTTGTTGTTGTTTTTTTTTTGTTTTTTTTTTGTTTCAAAATTTACTGCTCTCTACCTAAATAATGGTTATTTACATTATTTTAGATGAAGAACAGATTTTGAAGAAGAAAAAACACTCAAAACCTCCTCAAATCGCGCTAAAACTTCGCCAAAAGACTAAAGCAACGACTGAAGCACGTTTTATGCAAATATTGCTAAGTGAAACATTTATATCTTTATCGTAACTCCCATACATTCCCTTATTTATAACCATACATAGGAACCTTGTTTGGGCTGCCTGTGGATTAGCCACAAACAAAGCTACTAATTTTTAAAAAATCCTAGTTTTGCTCAATCTTAAATAAACATCTTGAATAAAGTTAAGTATACTTTGAAAGAGGGTCAGGCTCCTTTGAAAGAGCAGATATATATGGTTCATAGCGGTATTATCTCATATGATACGACAGACCTTTAGCTGGTAAGGTCATTCAAATGCAACCTTGAATGAATAATTCATAAATTTAAAGCTACAATTCGCCCTAAACTGTCTTCAAATTTCACAATATATTCATCATCTTGAAAATTTAGGGAATTATGAGATTAAAGACTTACCTTTTGATTGAAAATAAGGACAATAAAAGACGATCGCTGAAGGCAAAGCTTCCCAGCCATTCGCCATTGACAGCCACGTTTGAATAAAGCGGGCTTCAGCTGGTCCCTTTTTAGGGATGGATACCCATATTAGGATCAGACACCCCCCCGAAGGACGCCTGTTCGAATATCACATCAAACGAATCTTTGATCAATAGGTACAACGTGGATGTCTACAACGTGTAAGTTTTTAATATTTTTTTTTCATTTTAAGATTTTTCACTTTATAACCTATCCAGCTTTGAGTTTCATCCTTTAAGTTTTGAATAAAAACCTCGTCTGATTTATATTGTATTTTATTTTTTTACTAGTGTTTTGGATATAACAGGCAAACATTATGCCCTTCAAAGTGCTGGTTACACGCCGAGTCCCTCAGGACGCTATTGAGCTTCTCAAAGATGCCAAGTAAGTACAGTAAAACTTTAACATAAGCTTACATACATTTATTTTATAAAAATCGTTAGTAATAATTCGAATTTTATATTAAGACTATCAGTGGAAATAACTTCGACAATGATCAGCTCACTAAAATTCGGATATTGAATACATACAGGTAGTGTAGCTTTCTGGGTTAATTTTGACCTGAGCAGCCTACAACTCGTTATCATGATCTGTCCTTCAGTATAGACGGATTTTTGGCTAGTCGTAAGAAGGGTTAAAAAAATTGTGGACATTAAGTAAGAAGAATTTATAGAATGATACTATTTTTGCAGGGGTAAGGCCCAGAGCTTGACTTTTGACAAGAATGAAATTTAAATATGAATTATATGAATATCATTTAAAGTGAAATAAAGTGCCTATAGTGCAACTTTCGTGTGACGGTGAAAAGTTCACGACACGGCCATACAAATCACATTGCACGAGAATTTGCTCTCCATCCAATCAAATACCCAGAACACGGCATAAACATGGTGCAGACACTGTCACACCAAGATCACGGCACTTTTAGACCAATCATATTGCGCGTGAAAAATCAGCCAATTAAAATTATAGAAAGTATCACAGTCACAGCACGTCATGCTTTTCATAGTCATACGAAAACTGCTCTATTTAACATCAGTACTCCCTTCAGTTGGAATTCAACTGCTATCGATGGAAGCCGACGGTGCACACTTTACCCCTTCTCTCCATCAGTGCTCTGTTTTAAGAGTATTCAAAGCTGAAGCTTCACGGATTAGAGAGAAGTTGAAACAGACTAGAAGATCCTGAGGATCGAACCATTGACATCCAGCTCTGAAGGTTGCGAACTAACCAAGCTACACCTGCTCCTATTCAAGAATGCATAAAATTCAAAAACATCATTTTAGCATATCAGTATTATAAAGGTTGAGGAAATCTTTGTTTTATTGATGTTTTGCAATCATTCCCAAGAGAGTCAAGAGACAAAGACTTGGCAGCCATGTTGGTGGTATTGATTAACAAATAAAGCTAATTAGAATATTTTTCTTAAATAACACCAATATGGCTGCAATGAGGTATCATGGAAATGATGAATAATCTGGCACTGATCTCATGTAAAAAATGTCATCAGCTTAGCTTAGTGGCATTGTTTGATGCCGAGAGTCACTAAATATAATAGAATGAAAAAATAGAAAATGACAGCATGCATATCTGCTATTTGCAGTTATAAAGCACTCGGGGATTTTCAAAACTAACATGAGAAAGGAATGAGGGGAGGCTGTATGCCTAACAGAATGCAGTATATTTATTTATCATGAAGGAATAGAAAAGACGCACGTGTGCTGTGTGCAGTTATAAAGCACGCGGGGGTTTGCAGAACACGAGAGAAGTGTCAGGAGAATCACAACGCGTAGCGGAGTGCTTCCTGACACTTCTCAAGTGTTCTGCCAATCCCCAAGTGCTTTATAACTCCACAAAGCACAAAAAGCAAGCTTTTTATTTCTTTTATAAAATACGAATTTCAATAACCGTTTTTTTTGGATAGGAATGATGCAACTGAAAGTATGTGAGCGTGCTGTGTACTCTCATAAAGCATGTGCTCCCAACCAATCAGAACACGAGATTTAGAACAGTTATTTTATCATAGATAATAGGCTATCATCTGGGAACAGATAAGCAAAAGTCACAGTTTTGAGTTTGAAGGGCAATCATGCATGTTTTGCCAGGAATTAACTTGCCCACCAAATCCATAGGGTGTTCCATCCTAACTGGCCTCCACAATTGTACTGCTTATTGGTGGTCTCACTCAAGATGATACAACCAGCTGTCGCCAATACTAATAATTAATATTCTCTAATCATTAATATTGTTAGCTACCAGTTGGACTATTGGGAAAAAGATGATCCAATTCCAAGAGATGAGCTCCTCAAGAGAGTCAAAGAAGTTGATGCTATATTCTGCTTGTTGACTGAAAAAATTGATGCAGAGCTTCTAGATGCTGCAGGTTTGAGAAGAGATCTTTATTAATTGACTTGACCAGTAGATCAAGCAGTCAATAATTAATGTTACCTTATTATATATTATGGGTGGTACTGGTATGGTTGCTTCAAAAGAAAGCACTTTGCTTCAAAAGAAAGCACTTAGACTGATATCATTCTCTGGCTATAGGGATCACACAAACCCACTTTTCCTAAAATACAATATACTCAAATTTCCTGAGCTTGTCTTCTTACACAATGCCATTTTCGTTTATAACTTTAGAACTGGGAAGCTCCCCAAATGCTTCGATTC